ATCGCCTGACTCTTCGACGGAATCATTGTCTTTGGAGGTCAAAGGTCCCACCTTTCGAGTATAAAAAACCTTCTACCTTACTTGATCAATAGTAACTAGTTAGCGAGCTTCCAATTTTTGCTACAACCATCTATTTTCAGCCGAAGGAGAAGCTGCCCGACCAGTGCCTCTTCCCCTCGTGTAAGAACAAAGCTAAATTCTTTGCTCTTTTTGGTCGCAGTTATTAGATGCAGTCTAATCAATCCTGTTTCTCCCTTGTTATTATATGTTTTTCGTGTTGGGTTGGGCTTGATGCTGTTGTTATGATACGTATTGATTCGTCATTCCGCATAGTAAGTTATTCGTCCTCAAATGGGACTTTTGGAGTTCTGCTGGGCAGTAGCATGAAGATGTATGACAAAAGACCTGACTAGCAGGAGAACGGCTACTAGACCGGTATCGGTCGAGTGGCCCCGGAGTAGTACTATCACGGTCATCTCTTTAGAGCTTATTTTGTCCAGAGCCTGCAAGTGATGTTTTACTCGCTATGTGGATCCATTTTGAGATCTTAGGATGCATTATGAACTTCTCTGACCTATTCCTTTATGAAATTCTGCTTATGTGTTGGTGGTTGGCTTGTGATACTGATTTTTGGATATCCGCTGATAAAATGAGCTCCTTGTTAAACCAATGAAGTTATTTCTCCGTTTTCCGTTGTGATCTTTTTTATGTGGTTCATGCCAGGTGGTTATTACTTTTCAACCTAGAATATATTGATCATAGTTTTCCGTCTGTAATTCTGTAGTTGAAGTCTTACTGGTGAGTAATTTGAAATAGTTATGTATGTACTTGTTGCAGAAATGCCGCTGAATTTTGTGTCGGTAGATTCAGAGTTTTGTGGATTCTGTGGTGCTATTCTTCAGATGCCCCAGTTTGCCCCATCGACGATCGCTTGCAGAGTTTGTGGCAGTGAATGGCATGTACCTGGTTAGTTGCTTTCGGAAGATAATTTTATCCCTTATCTTGTCACAAGTTGTATTATAGAAAAGCGCGATCATTTGGTGTGCAGAATTGAGAAGATTTATGAGAGAACAGTTGCCGATACAGAAGGAGTCGAGCAAGAAGATACGGGAGATGCGGTAGTGGAACATGTATGCAGCAAGTAAGTAAAACCTAATCGCAAAAGCGTTTTCACAGTTGCAAATGGTTTCTGCTCAGTTCTTATGCGTGAGAGAGAGAGAGGAATGAGTTCAGGGAAGCACCAAGTGCTTAGCAAACTTATGTCGTTCTTAAGCGTTCAACAGTCTGAGCTGCTACGTGCTCGCGTACTAATGTGGCACCGCGTGTCGAGTCTGTCGCGCCCACTCTGGTAGTCAGCGCTCTGCCCAGGCCGTGGTAGTAGGAAGACGGGAATCACTCCATCGGTGAGAGAACGAAAAGCTCAGTGCGAATATATAGTTTGATTCCTAATCGTGCCAAAATAGGCGTTTCCAGCCGAGTGCGGTAAGTACGCAGTATTCGTACCAAGACCCAGACCACTCGACGTAGCAAGCATTATTTGTGGAGATTTTGCAAGGACAAAATTCAGGCTTGTACCTGATATGATGTAAAAAATCCAAGAGCCCAACGGTGGATGATGAAGCTGTTTAAGATCATTTTTTGTTGAAAAAAATATGAAGTACGATGTAGTTGATGGCCTGTAAACTTTGAGTTTTTTTTCACGATGAAGGGCAAAAGCGCCGTCCCTGCTACTCGACGATGCAAACGAGATCAGCAGATGAGGGTCAAACGGTGTTTTATACGTGTTTGAAAGTGCAAGAGGAAAGATATAGAGTACTCCTAGAGATGTTTTTGTACAGAGAAGTTGTATATACGTTGAACTTGCGTTGTTATTTGTTATAGCTCTATCAGATATTCACAATGAAGTTTTACCAGGTATTTGTTTTTCCCACTCATTCCCCAAAATGTTCTCGATCTTGCCTAAAGATATCTATATGGTTTCCTACAAGTGATGTTTGACGTTGCATTTTTCATTTCGTCTCGCAGCTTCATTGTATCGCTATGTAGTTAGGTGTGCAACCAATGTCTCGGGGAAGCAGTCGCGGGTTCGATCCGGTCATATTACATCTTTTCATCTCAGAGGGCGTGTGTATCAGGTCTGGTTTCCTTATTTCATTCATTGTTTCAAATCATATATTGTCCAAAACATTATTTCCTTCATTTTGTTATTTCAGATACGTTTTATTCGGAGCCTAACTAATCTGTTTGAATTGAAGTGATCTCCTATATTTCAGGTTGAGTATGCGTTTAAAGCCATCAATTCGACTAATCTGACGGCAGTGGCTGTCAAGGTGCTAAATTCTAAAGTTTTCACTGATCTCTCATTATCCTCTTTGAGCCAATGACGGAATTTCTAGAAACGAAATCGTACTTTCAGGGTGTTGATACAGCAGTGATTGCCGTACAGAAGCGTGTTCCTGATAGCCTTATAGTAGCTGACTCGGTCACTTCAATTTACCAATTATCGCCAACTGTTGGATGTTGTGCTATTGGAATGATACCGGACTGCAAGTTCCAGGTGATTGTGTTTCGAATACAGTTGGTGACGGTAGTATTTTGGTAGTTACTTGAGGTTGAGGGGTAGGGAGGGCGGCAGTCGTCAGCGCCTCTATATTTCTTCCTCTACTCAAGGCTCACGATCAGTGAAGACTATGTCTTCTCTGTGGGCTATTTCTCGATGACTCTAGTCGTTTAAGCTCTAAGTTGAAGCCATTGTGGGGAAGGAATACAGAGGCGCGGTCATGTGGTTCCCCCATTCCAATTTGCCTTCGGGAAACACAGGCTTTTCCCATTGGTTTGGTGATTTCGTCCAGACACATTATTTAGGTTCGTCGCGCTCAATTGGAAGCCTCACAGTGGAAGTATCTGAACGGTTACGATATGCCCTGTGAGCTTCTTGCAAAGAAAATGGCCGATAAAAATCAGTACTACACACAGAATGCTGAAATGAGAAGTCTTGGATGCGGTTCGTTTTCACTTCAGCTAAAGTTTTGTAACAAGCGTTTTGAGGAATCAGAGGAGTGATAACCTCATTTTAGCAATGATTATGATCTCATTTGATGATGAAGATGGTGCTGTCGTATTCAAAGTTGATCCAGCTGGATACTATCGTGGGATGAAGGCTGTATCGGTGGGAGTGAAGCAGGTGGGCGAAAGTTTCTGATTCTTTCAGTTCTCTCACCGTAGAAAAACTAGCTCTTTTGTGCACGAAAAAGTTTCTTGCGCTGGATTCCAAATATTATAATTCTTCACAGCGAAGGGGGGCGATCATTCATGTTGTCTAACTTGAGCGCTAGTATAGTGCGTGGGCGGGAGTGAGCGAGACTAGGCGACGACGATTCTCCCCTCGCCTGCGTCCTCACCGTTTTCAGTGAGGCGTTACCAAGCACTATTTTTGCAGCAGTGAGCAGACTAGCAGAAATGAGGCGTGGTCTTGTTTAGTCGAATGCCCCGCTCTCACTCAACTGCGCTAGCACCCTCCCTTGTCTTCTGTCCTGAGACCACCGCCCCATAAGCCTACTATCTCGATCCTTAAAGTATAAGCATGGGCGAAGGTAGTCAGGGAAGGGAGCAGTATACGGCAGCGCGACTAGGGCCGTTCCAACAAAGAAAATTGCTCGCCCCCGCCTTCCAGATCAACCACTCTCCCCTATGGTTTTTATAATCAAAGTTAGTCATAAATTTCTCTCGTATGAATACTG